GGACATGAGGGATCAAAACGGGATGAAACCTACCCCCTTCTAATCCTGACTCACGAGTCTGAGCTTGACAGAAAACAAAACAACTCTCTGCCTGCCAGCATTTTCAAACAAAGACTAGGCATCAGAAAGGATTGGGCTGTACCTGACAGAAAACAAAACAACTCTCTGCCTGCCAGCATTTTCAAACAAAAACTAGGCATCAGAAAGGATTGGGCTGTACCTGCTCCATGTAGTTGACCAGTGAGTTACGGTTCTGGTCCCAGTACTGCTTGAGTGCGTCCTCAGGAGGAAACTTATCACAGCTCAGCTCCAGAGTGATCTCAAAACAATTGCTGCTAAGATAGTTAAAGTCCTGCATACCTGACAGACCGAGAGAAAGGGAAAGATCAAAGGTTGGCAACTAACACTGAGTGACTTTCTTTTTTTTTAATATTCACTACATTGTCAAAGTATGTGGAGACCCAAACATACACTCATATGTACTTGTTGCACATTTAATTTCAAAACCATCTGCATTAAGCCCTCCTTTGCTGCTATAACAGCTTCCACTATTCCAGGAAAGCATTCCACTAAATGCTGGAACATGGCTGTGTGGATTTGAAAGAACATCAGCGAGGTCAGGAACTAGTATTGGGTGAAGCTTGCAGCTGCCATTCCAATTTGTCCCAAAGATGTTCAGGTCACGCTGTCAGGCCCGTCCAAACTGCTGCCACAAATTTGGAAGCGCACAATTCTCTAGATGTGATTGCCAGCTTTTGGCATATTAATTCCCATGCCTTTTTCATAACATTTCTATGATTTATTTTGCAAATCTGGTATTAAACCTTCTGCTTTTGCCTTTTTAAAAAATATACATCAGACAATGTCCTGAGAAAGCATATTAATCCATGGCATAATTTATACAGTAAGGTCCGAACTGAAAATCTGGCTGAAAAAAGGCAGTTCATAACCCCTTAAAAATGTCTATAATTGCTCTTAAAATGTCTTAAAATGCTTAAAACCGCGGTAACTGCTGCTTGCTGTTATGTTTATTATTATATTTCTAATAAATTGTTTATGTTGTGCATAATAGTAATAATAATAATAATTATTATATTTTGTGATGGATCGGCTGCCTCATTTCTGTTAAATAAAACTGTGTCTGTTTGCTCCTCCCGCCACAATTTCTAATAATTTGTGTGTGTGTGTGTGTTGTTAATTTCTTTAATAATAATAATAAAGTCAAGTCAGATTTATTCAGATAGCACTTTATATAATACAGACGGTTTCAAAGCTGCTTCACAAAATTATTATATTTCTAATAAATTGTATATGCTTTGCATAATAATAATAACTATTATTATTATTATAGTTCTAATAAATTGTGTGTGTGTGTGTATATATATATATATATATTTGTTAAATTCTTTAATAATAATAATAAAGTCAAGTCAGATTTATTCAGATAGCACTTTATACAATACAGACGGTTTCAAAGCTGCTTCACAGTATTAAAATATTTAAGATTCTGCACTATTTCTAGGTCACTGATCAAGTATGTAAAATAATTGGTGCCAATATGAACTCCTTTGTACAGATGGTCACATGTACAACACAATTAATACAGTATATGAGTGATTTACAGAAGCTGTGCATTATACCTCCAGGCACACTGTACCAGGCTCCTCCGTTAGTGATGCCCTCTTTGAAGCTGGAGTCATCATCATTCTTGCGGCATGCCGGCCGGTTTGGGTCGGACATCACTGGGTTATAGCTGGAGTAGGCCTTAGCCAAAGTCTTAAACACCAGATCATCTGGACTAGCACTATATTCATGAGTAGAACCTGGTGGACAAACAGAAAAAAAATAGCCAATCAAATTTTATGATCAGTTCTAGAGGGCGCTATGGGGTAAGCCGAGCATGACCGCTGTCTGAAGCATGAGTCTAAACCCGACAATGAACTTGACATTGGCAGGCGGCAGACTATGACGTCTTCTCTTCGAGCAAGCTGGATGCGCTAGGTATGATGCATTCACGAGACTGACTACAAGAGACAGGTAAGGAACTCTTTCCTTTCTGCTTTCTTCTGAGGGATGGTAGTTAGTGTTTGCATGAGCATGTTCAGCTCTCTATAAGGCACTTATAGCGATGCATTCACGTCTGTTCTCGTATGATTCTTTTCTGAGTGATAGAATCCGTTGTTTGAACTAGCGTGCTTGAGGTTAAGTTGCACGCAGGGGCGGACTTACCCATTAGGCAAAGGTAGGCCCCCGCCTTGGGCCCCCAAAAGCCAAGGGCCCCCTAAAATTATTTTCATACAGGTGCATTCCTATATTTTTCCTGGGGCCCCCAATTCACTAAATCCGCCCCTGGTTGCACGCTTTTTGTGATGTGGCTGCAGTAATTGGACTCTCTCTTGAGGGATGAGAGTTGAGTGCATGCACCCCGTGGTCGGCTCCCACGACTGCCTGCCACAGACAAACAGGAAGTGTGAATATATTCACACGACTGTGTGAATATTTTTAAAAATGTAATTAATTCCTGTAATTTTCAGCATCATTACTCCAGTCTTCAGTGTCACATGATCCTTCAGAAATCTTTCTAATATGCTGAATTGATGCTCCAGAAACATTTATTTTTAACAATATTATCAAAATTAACTGTTGTGCTGCTTAATATTTTTGTGGAAACATTTAGTGATAAAGTTCAAAAGAACAGCATTTATTTGAAATAAATCTTTTGTAACAATGTAAATGTAATGTTTCTGAATTTATGAAGTATTAATTTCTCTTAAAGAAAATCATACTGTATTATATTATTACATTATATTATATTATATTTAAATTTTATCTCTAATAGTACTGTATATACTGCATATAAACATTTGTGTGTGTAACCAAAGTCACTATCAGCTGTTGTTGTATGGAAAAGAGCGTAAAGACATTTCTCTTTTTCTGAAAAAATGTCTTTTGTCAATTTTGTCAATTTAATGCATCCCTACTGAATAAAAAAATATTAATGTATTAAAAAATCTTACTGACCCCAAACCTTTGAAGGAAGAGTGTATATATGTGTGTATATATATATATACAGTGGGTACGGAAAGTATTCAGACCCCCTTAAACTGACACGTGGAGACAAAGTTTCAGACTGAGGAGGAAATCACTTCAGTTACTTAATGCCAGAGTCTTGTAAAGTGAGTTTGGCTGAAAAAGGAAGCCTGAATACAACCGTTACTGTTTTAACGTACAAATAAAACACATATCGCCTATGATCACAAGCCTTTATCCCATCTATGACATCTCTATCCTACTGAAATCATTTTCTAGTAAAATTAGCTTTTTTTATGTACAGTTCCCATAAAAGATGCAACCTTTGTGCTCGTGGTTACCAGGACAGGACTTTCCCTCCACCTCTGAAACAATCACAAAAGCCCAGAGAGAATGCATGTTTGCTGTGTGGTCAGGATAGACATTTATCAGTAAAGCAGTGCAGTAAACCACATCCCAGTGAGGTGTTTAATAATCTGTTGGTATCCCCTAAACAAATGTGAAACTAAAAGTCAAATGTGTCATGAAATGTCAAAGCCCACACTTGTGTGAGTACAGGCTGCAGAAGGATGTGGTAAACCACAATAAAATGTTATGAAATCAGCACCCCTGCATTCTGCCAACAAAACTCAAGTTTAACTGTTTTTTTTAAATGGAAACCAGGGACCTTTTTTATTTTTTTTGGTTCAGTGGTCAAAATTTCACTCAAACCTCACTTGTTATTATCTATAAATTTTGTTTTGTTTTTAAATTGTTGTGGGTTCCATTTAATAGTACTATTAAAATTAATAATTAATATGATGTTTGCGAGTCAACACTAACTGGTAACACCTGAAACATGCAAACATAATGTGTGAGTACTGAACTGAGCTCTTTTTTGTGCCTTATTGGGCTTGAACCGTCAAACACACACACACTTATGTGTCAAAACACCTCTCTTTGCGAGTATCCTTGTAAACATAGGTAAGCAAACATAAACAGTTGAGAAAGAAAATGCATGTGTATCAGTATATTAGATCTGTGCATTCGATCTTAAAGTGACAGCAGCCTAAAAAAACCTGTTGCTGTCTGTGTCATTAACATGAATCAAACAACAAAAGAGAGAAAAGCTCTCGCTGGCCCTGAGTGAATCACATTTATATTTAATGTACACAGTGAAGACTATGCAGTGTTTTTTTTTTGTACATAACATTTTTTGTTATTATTATATTTTATTTCATACTTTATTTGTTAATTTGTGTCTTTATATGTGTATTACAGTTTTTTGTCCTATTGCTTGTAATTTGTTTTGTTCTTATTTTATGTTTACTTGTCAAGCTTGAGAGTTTCTTTTTTTTACTTATTTTTTTGTGATATAGAAATTTATGATGAGAATTATGAAATTTCATAAAAACCTTACTTAAAGCAAAAATAACTATATCGTGATATATATTGCTATCGTAAAATAAAATGACTCCTATTGTGATATAAGATTTTGGTCATATTGTTCATCCCTAGCCTATATCATAACTAAATTATGCCTTTATCATAATATTACAAAAAAAAAAAAAAAATGTAATTTTCTAATTGTATTTAATTTGTTAATTTTTACAGTTAATACGTATAAACTGTTAATATATATTTAAAACAGTAAACATATATTAATCACAACTTTTTTTTACTTTACAAATGTTATTTTATGTTTGTACTTTTGGAAATGGATATTTACTTTCCTTATTTAGGTGCTTTATTTTGTATTTTAGGCCCATTTTGAGCACAGGACACCAAAAACCGAGACTGTCCTGTGGAAAACTAGGAAGTCTGATCACCTTATGCTGAAAGATGTTGAAGACTGGACTAATGAACCATTTAGTGATACAAGTCGTATAACAACACATATATTTTAGCAGCAGAATACGGTCGTCTGTCTTGTTTTATAGTTCTAAATATGATTCTATTCATCATGAACAGTTTATGAAGAGATACTGAACTGCATTCTGTTGATATTCTTTTTATATTCTTCTTCTTGTGTAAGGTGTGTGTGTTTACCTGTGAGGCTGCTTTCTCAAAGCCGTCAGGATTCATGGAGGGCATGATGTGAATGCGTGTGGAGTGGATCAGGTCGATGATGGTGTCGTTGCCCTCCTGGTACTCATTACAGAGATACTGAGCCAGATAGATGAGCAGCTCTCTGCCCACGGCCTCATTACCGTGCATGTTCCCAATGTACTTAAACTCCGGCTCACCTGTCACACAAAACCAAACACAGTTAATGATCCAATGCTGTATGCACATGTGAGTTAAATGAACTGACGCAAATAACAACTAAATGATGCCACTTATTTCAAGCTTTATCTTTTAAAAAGTGATCTGTACTATTTGAGTTGTATGAATCACACGTATAAATGTCAAAGACAACATAACCAGTATCTTACCAACCAATCATAAGTCTTGGACAACTCGTCAATCATTTAGCAATTATTATAGAAATTTTATGATGTGTTTTACTATCATGATACTGGGTGGAATGGAGGACGAATAGAGAAATTCACACTCTCTAAAAAAATAACATTACCTTAAATTTAATGTCTAATAAAAATATAATATTAAAGTGCCCCTATTATGGGTAATGAAAGTTCATTTTTTGGTTTTGGGAGTCCCCAACAACAGGTTGACATGCATGCAAGGTCAAAAAACACTTTCAATGTCTTATAATATGCATTTATTTTTACCTTACTTGCTCAACGACTCCCAAACGATTCGCTCAACGATTAATTTTTCCAAACCCCTCCTTTAGTGACGCTAATCTGCGGTGATTGGTCCGATTGGTCTCATTTTCATTTCATCTCGCCTGTAACGCCTGATAAAGCAGCGTTTGTGAGCGCAGTGCTGCTTTGTTTACAGCCGTTACCAGGGAAACTGCTATTTTTACCGCTCCTAAAGCGGCACCTAGTGGCAAAGAATGAATTTGCATTTTCTTTCAGACCAACGGAAAAGACCAACAAGTGGGCGGGCAATATGCTAATGTTTCATGTTGACGTCAACATGAAATGGCTTGGGATTCGTTTTAAAAACGACTCGTTTCAATGATTCAGAGTCGACTCTTTCTTTTGAGAGACAATAACTTTATACACGGTGCACTTTCAGATTTAAAACTTTGCAGGATGCTTTCATTCACTTAGAGCTGTGTTACGCACTGCATGAAAGGTCATTTTCAAAAATCCACAATAGGGGCACTTTAAATATTTTAATAAAATAAAATAACATTTGAGTTCATTAACTACTGATCCTATTTTGGCCTTTTAGGACAAAGTTACCACATTACACTGTTAATTTCAAAACTCAAAACTTGAATTAAAGCTGATTTTTTTTCTTCTTAATACAAGGATTCAGCTGATCAGAAAATATCAGAAGAAAAACACACTGGAAATCACAAAATAAATAAAGTCAACCGTTTCATAAATACTAAGAAATATAGACAAATATCCACATAATTAAAGGATATTTTATTATACTTGTCACTTTCCACAAATAGGGCCTGAAATTATTTAAAGACTAAGTCATTTCTATCCCAGGAGGTCAAACTAAATACTTTATAAGCTGTTTTATTTTCTATAAATTTTATATGAGATGTTGCACTTCCTCTTGGTTATTTTTAATGTTCTCTTCTGTAGCCTCTCTGTTTGAATAATCAAGACATGGTCTTATTTGTTTGCGTTAATGACCTTGGTTTCTCCTTGTTTATAGAGTGTGCTGAATGATTCTGGTCTAGGTTGTGGATTTACTGAGAATTCCTCCTCCGTGAACACCTAGCCAGATGTCAAGATCAACACACACACATAAAGACAGAGAAAGAGAGGATATTAATCAGCATAACATCCATAATGCTGGATTGACTGAACAGATGGAGTAGTATATTATGTCCGCTAGGGGTAAGACACAATAAAAAGAATAAAGATGACAGGTCAGACCAAAAATGAAACGAAAGAAAACACCATAAATTGAAGGTTTCAATTTATATAAAAGATGAGGAGAAACAGTCACTAAGTGGTACTGGGCTTCAGAGAGACCCAAGACCCAAAACAACAAACAAAATCAATATAATTAACCAAAAAAATACAAAGAACCTTACCTAACTACTCTCAACAAAAACAGAGAGAACGGAATCAAACTAAAGGGCAGATCTCTCCTACATGGCAGTTGTGGCCTAATGGTTAGAGAGTCAGACTTCTAACCCCCGAAGGTTGTGGGTTTGAGTCTCAGGTCCAGCGGGAATTGTTGGTGGGGGGAGTGAATAACCAGCACTCTCTTCCACGACAGAATACACAGAACCGAAACCCCGCCTGATAAGCGCACCACACTGACATTTTGTTGTCATGTAGAGCTTATACAGATACACAACATGCAAACAATGTTTACCTGCCATTGTGCAATAAACATTATATAATATATATAAGCACCTTATATAGGACATGGGCTCTGAAAAGGATGTTTACATTGGACAGACCCGTTTAGAAAAGCCAACACACCTAAGCAAGAAAACAAAGGCATACAGTACTGGACGCACATTTATTTGCCATGCACACAGATTGGAAGCAGATGGAAGTGCTGTTTTATTCAGCAGGGGTCCTTGCAGGCTCTGGCCTTTTTATAGCAGTCGATTTCATTGCCTCACTTGAACATCTAAATATTCTACATCTCGCAATTAAAGAGCAGCATGTGCAGAATATCCACAGTGTGTGTGTGTTCAAGCTCCTAAATAAGGACGTATGTCCCTGTCACATTTACAACCAGACTTTGAAGCTCCAAGTACATCAAAATTAAATTACAGCCAAGCTCTTTCGCAGATGCTAAAGTCAAAGCAAAGTATTCCCAGGCCTGTCCGCAGGAAATGTGCGTCTGAATGTGTAATGTGTGCGTGAGGTAGCTGGGTGAGAAAAAGCGTGTGAGAGACAAAAAGTGAAGGTGTTTTCTGATTTGACTTTTTTTTTAGTACTTATAAAGCACATATTAATGCTTTATTCTGCATGATCATATTTTAGATCCCTTTACCTAATCATAACCTTTACCTAAACTTAACAACTACCTTACTAACTATTAATAAGCAGCAAATAAGGAATTTATAAGGCAAAAATCATATTTAACAAGTTAGTTAATAGTGAGAATTTGTCCCCAAACTAAAGTGTTACTGATAAAATGTATGTAAATTAAATTCAAAGGCATCAAAGTTTTGAAATAAACAAACAAACATCCAAAACTTTTTTTTTGTATATTTGTTTGTTTTGGTATGAGTCATCTTTTTAAACATATGATGAAGAAACAACTGGGGGAAACAATTGTACTGAAATATTGACCTTTACTGACTAAAAAATGATATAGAGAAGATTTTTAATTATTGTTTTATTTCTGCTATAATTATGAGTAATCATTATACTACAGCAATAGGAATATAATATGCATTATAAATATGTAAATAAGAATAATACTATTCATAGCATTATAGTTATGCAAAGTTGTTCTGGAAAATTCACTTGTCTTATTCAAATGTCTTAAATGTCTAGCTTCTGCTAAATGTCTTAAATCTAAATATATATTACATATACAGAACACAAAATGAATATCGGTGCAGGTGTCAGTCAAACTAGTGCTAGGCGGTATACTGGTTCATACCGAATACCAGTGTTTATTTTTGTTATGATATGAATTTTTTAAATACCGCAATACCGGTATGTCGCTTAGACAACGTATACCGTGATATACATTTTTGGTCATACCGCCCAGCACTAAGTCAAACTGAAATGTCGTCTTCACTATTTTACATTAATGGATATGTAATACTTTCAGTAAGTTCCATAAGTGATGCTGTGAATACACCTCTAGTCTCAAAATGAAACGAGATGGGCGAAGGGTTTTCAGCAAAGATGAGTGCAAAAAGTGTGAAATCCCACACAAGATTGTGAAGAACAAACTTCCCCTTCATTATGAAACACAGTTATACATGTGCGTCTTATCCAAAGAAAGCAAAGCTGTTTTGATAGCAGTGATGAGGAAATCATGTGCGATACAGATGAGGTGAGGGAGGGAAAACTGCTAATCTATCAGCGAAACTGACAAACAAAAAGACTAAAATAACACAATTCAAAGCCATACAGTCATCATCACCTCTCTCTCAAAACATATTCTGTAACATCAACACCATCTCTCTCATACACGCATGCCATCTCATCAACTCTCTCCTTCTCTCTTCTGTTCCCTACCTTCTTTATCCCTCTTTCTCTTTTGTTCTCTTTCTAAGAAAATATACATCAATGGAAAGACGAGAACTATTACATGGTATGATAACCTCATTTAGGATTAGGACAATACTTCAAGAAGGCAAACATTTAAAGAGACAGCATTCTGTTTCTTGGTCATAGCTTTATTATTTGTGTAACTTCACATCTGTTTGTAAAACAAACCTTCATTAAGTCTAACAGTATATAAATGTAACTAAAATGTCACTTTTGTTTAAAAATATGTTAAAAGTGGGTCCTTCAGTAAACTCATATTTAAGTGACAATTAGAAGGAGATATCTAACAAGTGAGGTTATCATGCTTTACTAGCAACTATCTGCCTCAAATAAAACTCTTGAATAAAGATTAAATGTCACAGAACAACTTGTAAACATACCATAATTCCTTCAGCAAGCAAATGTAGGCTGTATATTGGGTCCCACAGTAAAATAAATATATACATTAGGACTGCTGATAAATACAGTAAATAACGATTAATCTCATCAATTTATGGAGTTAATTAACCTCAACAAGATTTTATATATCACCCGTTCAGGCTACATTAATACGATAGAAAATACAGTAAAAATGATAACATTCTGAAATATTATTACAATTTAAAATAACTGTTTTCTATTTGAATACATTTTAAAATGTAATTTATTCCTGTGATGGCAAATCTAAATTTTCAGCATCATTACTTCAGACTTCAGTGTCACATGATCCTTCAGAAATCATTCTAATATGCTGATTTGCTGCTTATTATTGGTGTCGAAAACAGCTTAATATTATTTGTGCAAACTGTGATACATTTTTTTTCAGGATTCTTTGATGATTAGAAAGTCCAAAAGAATAGAATTTATTTGAAATAGCAAAATCTTACTTTTTAAATGTCTTTACTGCCACATTGAGAGACACACACTCAGAGAACAGTGAGCTCAAAGATGAGAAATGCAGTGCCTTAGAGAGCAGA